CCTACATTGATCCTGAAACATGTTAAGATATGTTAAGATCATCAATTGGACATCATGACTTCTGAAACCAAAACTGGGGGGAACAAACAAATACGATGTTGCCAGATTTGTGTTGGCCAAACCTCTAAAATTCTAGTTATGAAGATTGTCAACGGCCCATTACTGAGGGCCCACGAAGAACATACTGCGATTGATGTTCTGAAGCAAAGGAACAAACCTGTTTCTGCAGAGTTCGGCCAAGGCGCGCGCTCGGCTTGTTGCGGCGTTAGGATCGTCCCCGCACCCACCAGCGCTCGTGGCTCTGCCTCACCAACGGCGGGAGTGTTTGACGCGAATGGCCAAAACGGTTGTTGTTGCTGTTGTTGTTGTTGTTGTTGTTGTTGTTGGTGTTGGTGTTGTTGTTGAGTGCATGTTTTGCGACCCCTTTTTCAGAGGCCTGTTAGGGACCTCAAATCCTGGGATTTCGAAGGGTTATACAATGTTCTATACAAGCCCAAATCGCCGCCGTTTCCGGAAGTTTCGAGGCGAAAGAGTGTCCGACTTCGATCGTTTCAAGGAGCAGGACCAGTTCCGAACAGGGCTCGACGGTGCATGTTCCCGTGAAGTTCTGATGCCTTCTAGCAACCTCCAAAGGAGCACAATTAGAGACCAAGGGATTCAACTTGAAGCGTCACAAGTACCTTCTGAGAAGGTATATGTGGATCTCTCGGGAGAATATCCAGCAATCGAGTGTTTCTCATCCGAGAATTCTCCAGACATTCACTCACCCCACTCAATCGATGTCAAGATATGTCAGGCGCCTCCACCATGCGTCTTACTGCCTCCTCCGCGCAAGCGGTGCGGAAAACCACCTGCAGTGTCGTTGTTCGATCCACAAAAGACTCATCACAATGAGACCATAGAATAATCATAATCATTAATTAATATGCTCCACTTCTGCCAATCATGGCCAAAAATGTGACCCAAAGGAAGTGCATGGGTGCTAGAAAAAAGGAAGCAGCATGTCCAAGACGGACATGAGTCCGTCGTCGATCCACCGGAGTCATACCCACACATGGGAGTTCTTCCGAAATGCAGAAGTGCAGTTGCCCCGAGCCCCGAGCCATCTGCGTGGGGGGTCCAACAGTCCAACCGACGAGTCGAGAGAGAAGCGGCACAGTGGAGAACTGAACCGAACCATGGGGCCTCCGCCCATGGTTACACATCGGCACTATACCGGTGGCTCAGCACATAGGCTCAGTGAATTATTTGGAATTAAGAATAGATGGACTAATATTCTAAGTGCTAGGCCACTACTATATAATATCTAAATTCTCACCTGTAGTCGCATGGTTTACTAGTGTTTTGCCTTTTGTTTGTTTACAGTAACATACAGTAGGTGTTGGTGCAGTGATGACTCCATCAATACCGCGGCAAGTATCTGCCAAGTGCGGCATGGATCGAAAATCCAAAGTGTGATGTGTTGCTCTTACCTTCATAAAGGGCCGCGTCCATGATTCTATACATGCCAAATCAATCCAAATCAGAACGTATGGATATCCTGGATATCTCCTTAGCTGTCCTGGTTTACATAATATGGTTATAGTTTTATGTGCACTGTCCTGGTTTACATAATAAGGTTTACAATATGTAGGTCTATGTGCAGTCTTCAGCTCAAGTTGTTGAGTCAAATGGTTCTGCACCTGACCCACTGAGCATTGTGGACATTGTAGACATTGTGGAAGACACCTCAACACTGGTGAATGTACGTACCAGGTGTCTTGCTTCAACCATGACCAACCCAACCATCTTAGCTTTTCTCATGAATTCCCTGACGGAAATCACTGGCCTCAACACAAGTGAGGCCACCTTCCACCAGCGCTTGCACCATGGCAGCCGCTTGCGAGGCGTCCTAACAACGAGAGAAGAAAACTCCGGAAGCAGACTCCGAAGTCAGCCGTTTGAGGCAAAGGAACAAAAACACGTGACCTCCTATTGACAAACAAAATGGAAATGCGCAAAAGGACCTCTACAATGACTCTACAAGACCAGTTTCCCTTTACGACCAAACCATGTTCGCAGTTCGCAAATGTTTGCAGTATGTTCGCAGTGGTGAGTGAGTTAAAAATACTATTCTCCAAAATACATCAAAATACTGCATATCAAAATACCGGTGATCCCAACTCATACCAAGTAACCACAGTCCTACGAACTCTGCGTCAAACAAACAAACAAACATGAACCACTTGGACATGGAATTCACCAGCTGGAAAATGCTAAGCCCTCCGGATTGAGGAACTTTGGAACGCTCCAAGGCTCGCGCAGCGAAGTCAGGAAGTCGTGAAGTCGTGTTTCGTGTTTGGTCAGAAGAAACCTGCGATTTCAGGTCTAGAGGGCCTGAAAAAACCATGGACACATGTGAAGAACACTGAAGAAACCATGGTCACCGGTGATCGCACCCGGAGCCCTCAGAGCGCTCCTTGAATTGGTCGTCGAGCGACGCTTCATGTGTCCGGTGGACCTCTCCCTGGTTGACCCGGTGAGGTATGGATCATGATGGATCACATGATCCATTCGTTTCCACCAAACCGAATTGAACCCCAAATGGATAGAACAGTAGATCTTCACTCAAAATGTCGACACCGTGCCAACCGGTCATGGAGTCATGCTTCTATTTGGGGACCATGCCACCAAACTGTCCTTCTGCCCGTCGCCCTGAGCCATGCTTGTTCAGGGGCTGCTCCGTGTGATCTTTTAGAGCGGTTGCAGCACAGTCAGGAAAACAAGCGTTGATGACTGATGACACCAAATTCGGAGACTGTCATCGCTCCTATGATGAGGAATCATGATTTTCACCTCTCAATCCAACAACCGCAAACCCTGAAAGAGCTTTTAACCTCCCCTTCTCGTCTTTGGGTGACTCATGATTTCTCCACCCGTCTCAACCGCAGAAGGCGCTCCTGCACGGTCACCACTGGCACCACCAAGGACTGACGTAGTCTGTTCATCACCTCGGTTTTCCCCCCAAACTCCTCTCTGGACCGCCTTGAGGAGCAATTGTTTTTGTTCCTCGAATCTGCTGCGCGGGCTCTGCCCACAAACGGAAGCTTCAACAAATAAATGTGATGTTTTCTGATTCCGACTCATGGATCGGAATAGATGGCTCATGGATCTTCATCAACCCTCCCTTTCCCCAAACGAAACACGTTGATCCCATGTTGATCCCTTTTGTCTGTCTTGGCCTCTGAATCACATCTACGTTCTCGCTTGCTGTGCTGCAATGCATCCAAGATCCTTTTTGGTACATATATGATATATGTTCTTAATCTGAAAAGTAGGGAACGAACACGCCTGGTTTTCCCAAGTAGCAGCTTCAAGCTTTTCCGAAGCAGTATATACTGTAAGAGCCAATCAGGACACTCCTGTGGACCCGATTCTTAAGTATTCTTAAGACCTTTGAACCCCGCCGCTTGGCTATAGACACTAAAGCATCACTCAAGCAGTATCGCGTCACCGTGTCCAACATGAGTGGATTCTATGCGCAAAAGGAGGCAAAAGGAAAACATACGGTCAAAAGCGGAAGACCCTAAGCAAAGCTGCTTGTTGCGGGAATCCCAGATGTCTCCAAAGGCCTGTCATTGATTGGTCACCACCAGTCCCTTGGCAGCAAAGATAAGACAGGTAAGCATCTCACCAGCAGCTTGAGAACATACAAGACCACTGTGGCTGCTTTGCAAACAGTACTGACTGTCGAAGCATGCTGGTGAAGTCTTGAATGAAAGGGCTAACGCTTTTTTCCCCCGGACTTGGGTCGCAGCCAAGGGCCTCCTCCAAGCAGCACAAAGCGGGATCCGACCAAAAGGAAACACCAGGAGCCCGCGTTGTGAGCCCGAGTCACACTGGGGTCCACTGGCTTCTTCGTTGGTTTCTTCGTTTGCCAAAGCACCAGACCGACGCCTCGCGCAGCGACCCAACATGACCCCGGCCTCAACGACCCAAAACAGTCGGTGGCGGGTTCCCAGGCTGGGAAGGATACGGATGGATACGGCGGTTCCGGAGAAGGGTCACTGGGCGGCCACTCGGGTGGAAGACGAAGCTCTCTGTGGGCCATGGGTGTCGAGTGGTTGCAGGGAGGAGCTTTGGATCTATCTCACTGGGGGTCTGGAACTGTTCGAACAACGCACCAAGCGGATGATGATGACCGAATGGAGCCAGCGTTCTTCGTTCTTCTATGTTATTATCCTTGCCTTCCAAGACCATTCAAAAGTTGAATGGGTTCAATAAGAATCAGTGAGAAATACCTTGTCATGATGATCATGATGATCGCTTTTTGTCCACCCCATTCAAACTGAGTCGGCCTGCCAGTGCACCAGCGGCAGCACCCAGTGCTACAGCAGCAGGGAAAGACTTGTCCATGGCAGCGAGCGCAGCGAGCGCAGTGCAGTTGCCGGGAGTGGACGTTGGGTAGTCTGAAGACCTAACAACCCATGACTCACTTGCGAATCCTGGAGATGGTGAATTTCTTGGCTTCTTATCCTATGCCACAGCCAAGGGAACAACTGTACAACAAAAACATGTCCATGATTCTATATAGATGCGGTTTGTGCACGTGGTTGACGAGGAGTGTCCTGCACAAGGTGGGCTGATCCTTTTTCTCCTGCGGTTTCTGCGGATTTGTGAACATCTGTAGTCGCGTCATCTGGAGCTTGGACACGCCACAAAGAAACTCCTATGACGGGCATAGGTCAAATGAGCGTGTGTCAAAAAACCCAGTGAATGTGCCAACAGTCTCGTGGTCAAACAATGTCAGAACTATCCGAAAACATGTCGAAGGCAACTTGGGAAGGGGCAGTCAAAGGCTGAAAGAGGGATCCTCAACTATGATGTGACTATACGTGGCTTGATTATCACAGGAATAGTTTGAGATCCATATCATATCGTGTTCTCCTCCAGCCCCCCGGTGTCTATTCGTCTCTCGGGTGCAGGGCGAAGAAACCTCCTCCGATCCAAAGACAAGGCACCTTGCCAGAGATTTGGGCATGAAGAGTCTCGAAGTCCTGCATCCGCGGATGTGTGGCGGATTGGGATTCCAAGGCGGACGGTGGTATATCGAGGCATGCAGAGGGCCTCGATAAGGGGGTGTTCTTTTGCCTTCAAAAGATCCAACCACCTGGCGGGGCAAAAAGGATGCGAAGAGCATTGAAAAAACATGGGAGTGTATACCCACCCAATCCACCCCACCCCATCTTGTGACCCACCCAATCCTAAGAATCATTGGACCCTCCTATGGAGGGTTTGGACCCTGAGGAAAGCAGGGGGTTTGGACATTCAAAACCTTCACCTTTGAGATTCTTAGGGCATGTGACTTAAAACAACAAGCTGGATCACCAGCGCCGGTAGGTCGGGATGGTATGCGAATGCGCCAGTCTACCACGGTGGGCCGACCGACGTACCGAGTTGGTACGTCGATGGCTAGGCTTCAGAGTCGACCACTAACGTGAATGTTCAGAGAACCCGGGAAGAGACCCACATGGAACCTGACAGAAACAAAAACCAGACTGGAAGACGATTTTTCCTCTACTACCATACCTACCCGACGTGGTGAACTCAGGTTCCATGTGGGTCTCGGATCCAGTGTCAACGTTGAAGACCGGCTTCGGCTTCATGGCGGTCTCATCCTTCGAGGAGTCCGCCCGTTTTGACCGTTCCAAGAAACCGTTCCACCCAATCCCAGACACGACCTGCCAGTCCGGACTGGAGAAACGGCTGGGGGTCAATTGATCGGCATATATGGCAGTCCCATGGATTGTCTGGGAATGTAATCAATTCGAAGGCCGTGAGGGCCGTATCTCAGCCGCACCTGCCAAGTCTTGCATGTTTACAATGTAGTCCGCTGTTCATTCCCCGAAGTGTCATCTCAGCCGTTGCCACAATACCACGCAGCAAAAACACCAAAACCTGAAAGGATGTGAAACTTGGATGTGCTGCCAGGAACCTGGTAAAAACCTAAAAACATGTTCCCCATTTTAGAGGACAAGTTCGCCTGAACATAAAGCAAAACCAATGGATACCTCACTGGCTGATTCCCGGTTCCGCGAAGCCTCGAAGGTATGTCGAGACAGGTTCGTGAGGCCAAAGGCTGTCACCTGGACGCTTGTGGGCGCTGCTAGCGGGTGGTGAACGTGGGAGAGGGGGCGCTTTGGTGAGCTTATTGGAATAAGGGGTGACTGTAGGAACATCTGGAATAGCTAACATAGATCCTTCGGGGTTTCTGCCTGTTTGCATGTCGGGCTGATAACTTGAGGCCAAAGTCCGGCAGAAAACAACACTCGGGCAAGAAACCGGCATCACATGATGTTTCAGGAACATGACATGGGCAGAAAAACCCACGAAACAGGCTGAAGGACCCACGCCACCAGGTAGAAGACGGACATTAAAAAACGCTGGCATTGACATTGCAAGGCATTTATGTAAACGAACAAAAGGTGCATCGGCACAACAACTGCCTGCGGGCAGAATTTGCGCAATCTTCAATCTCGCATTTCCAAGCAACAAGATTTCCAAGGGATCTTGCCGATTCGGTTTGCTTGGTTTCTCGATGCTTTCCCGGATTCCCACCAAAAAGGCTTCTGTATCAAAACCAGGAGAACCGGACCCAAAGCAGTAGATCTCACGTTCTGTTGAAAAACGAGTTTACAACAACCATTGGATCATTTGCAAAGACTGAGCCAAGAGTCTTGAGGGTGTACCTGTATCGTTTCAATTTTTATCATTATATCAATTTATTGTTTATATCCGACTACTACCACTAACGGTTGATGAGAGTGGTGACGATAACCTTTACCCAAACCTAGTGATATCGTCTTAACCGACTGCAGGACATGTCATGAGGCACGCTGGTCAAACGTGGCTGTGGAGAGAGGGATTCAATAGAGACATGGATGAAAGGATAATTGCCATGAAATAACATGGACACCGGGAGCGGGGTTTTGACATGTTTTCAGGTAATAACCCTATACATGTTGTATGGTTTCCATGTCAAAACAGTCAACACCCAACAATGATCACGACATGGATGAAAGGATTGTATAGGGTTATGTTTTGACTCACCAAAATAGAGGCTACAGTAGCGCGGGCAATCCTTCAACTTTTCTCCAGCAATCCATTTTCTACACGACTTGCAGGAAGTTGATGGATGCTGGTCAACAAGTTGTGACTTGTTGGGCACCATAATCTTGACTCGCTTATATCAAACGAAAGACCAATACGCCCGCCGCTGGCATATGTCCTGTGACTTCATTAGGGTGTCACGAAAACTGCTGAACAGCCTGAGGTTCTTCACGAACCGCGAACCGCCCAAGGACTTCAAGACCTACGGCATCCTCCGGCACCACCAACCGGACCTCGTACCTCCGCAGTTCGTTTCCCGAACCTGTGCCGTCGGCGGAAAGGACTCTGTGTGTGCCTGCGTCACGTAGACACTGTGCTTCTGGCCGAAGGTCCCACTCTCAACCTGTGTGGACCGACAAAATGACAACGACATTCGGGGCTGCAGTTTCAGTGGTCTGATACTCTCGAATTGTTGATTTCATGCAACTCAATGTCCCTTACATAGCGATTGGGAAGGATAGGGAAGGACCGGAACTGTCTGCCTATTTCTGCCGCATTGGCCGTCACAATCATCGTCCATTCAAGCATTCTGGCTTGGCTTCCCTGGATGGACAAGTAACTGGACAAGTATACACCAGCACCACCCAGGGGCCCAGGGGTGGTTTATAGACCTCCCACGACCAATATATCTTTCATGCAAAACAACCCCTGGGATGGCCCTGGCAGGCTTCTCAAATTTACCTCACTGTTATCCTACAGAAAGTGTAAGTCGATCAACATGAGAACCGATTTGGAGTGTGTCAGTCTGTCTCCCCAGAGCATGCATGTCAGGCAACATGGAAAAAAATACAACTTCCCAAAATGAGCTTCTGTTGAGCCCCTCAGTTCAAACATGTCGAAAAAAACGACACCAATTACAGTATATGAAGCAGGATCCGGACTTTCCAGTGCCATCTATACGACTGAACCCTGAGCCGACTGCCCCTTCTCCCACAGCACATCCGAAGTCCTGCCTCGATCTTGGGAATCGTCACCCTCAGTTGGTCGGGGCGGGCCGCTCGGATGCCCCCGCTACGACGGCCACGAGACACGCAAGCGGTAAGGAATTACATTGAATCCCAAACACCTTGGCGAACTTGGCCGCCTATTATTGGATGATATTGGATGCAACCTAATTATATAATGCAACTGAACATTTTTTGCAGATGAGTTACTGGTTGCCGAACCAATATTAGGATGTCGTTCTCCAAAGCAACCAAATCCGAGGACCTCCATGCCCTGGGCTCTGGAAAGGGCATCCAAACAAGACCCTGCGAGCCTCCGAATATATAAGTGCCCTGCACTGCGAGCACATTTTCGCGGCCTCCAAAAAACTGAACACGGTCCAACTTGGTGTTGGAAACCAAACACGAACAGACCGATTAAACATGATTGAAGTACACTCCTACTCACACGACATGGAAGTAGAAAGTTCACCCAATCTGTGGTCAATTCGCACCCCATGCGATCTTCCCGGTGGCCTGAAAATGGCCATGTCATGTCAACAATGATCGTTAGATGTCGTCGGACATATTCGGTGTCTTGCTGTCTTCCGTCTTTTTAGAACGTCCAGGCGAAAGCTGTCGGCGAAAGAAGAACATCACACCCCATCGCGCCATCGCTATGGAGGCCATCGCCATTAGGTTGGCCATCCATCGCTATGAAGAGGCCATGTTGGCCATCCATGGCTATTAGGTTGGCCAAGTCAAAGAAGAAAGTCCCCAACCTCCACGTGAGGTGCTCGTTCAGCCCGGTGGTGGCGCTCATTCAGCCCGGTGGCGTGATCGGCAGCTCGATTCCGATGGAGCTGGAGAGTGGCTCCCTGGCATAGATGGAGGGTGCGGCTGGGTGTGACTGCGAACCTCTGAGTGGGTTAGGGAGAAGGAGCAAGAACGCAGACTGCAAATCTGCCATGTCCGCTTGGCATGTCATGTGTTTTCTGCCACCCCAGCCATCTGATGCTGTTTCCCTCAAGTCCTGGTCTCAAAGAGTCACTATTTGAAGAATCGGCAGCTCGAGAGCCAAGCTGGTGTCCAGATTCCTTCAGATTCTTTCTGGTTGATCCAAGCAGATTCATCTGAGATGGAAGATGGAAGGCATCTGGTGTCCAAGACAATCCACGTTTTCCAAGTGGCTCAGACCAAAAAGGATCTGTCCCTCCATGCTTGACCATCCAGCTCTGCTTGGCGGTTTAAAGCTTAAATATGCTGAAGCATGATTGAATACTGGCCTCCAAAAGTCAGTATTGGGATGTATTGGGCAATTTTATCTCATTCCATTTGATAGGGACAGAATACACTCCCTGAATAACTTCCCATTGGTCAGGTGATGTCAGCATGGCCGGATCATCGGAGGACCCCGAAGATATATACCCGAAGAGCAAATGGTCGGTGGTGCCATCGACTACTGCCATCTACTGATGCTTTCAGGGAGTGATGCCATTGTTCAGTTTCTTCTCAACACATCCTGCGTGATCGCCCACCATCTCCTCAGCTGCCTGCCTTGAACTACGACCTCCGGTGTGAACGTGGAGGCGTGGTGGCGTGGAGGCGGGAACTTAGTGGAGCGACATGCTTGCTATCTTTTTGGGTGGTAAGTGTTCCATCACGGTCACGTGCATGACGTGCTACGTTCAACAGGACTCAACAAGCAATGACATGATATCACAAACATTATAATCTCATGTCAGGTCTATAGACATTGTAGGTGTTTGGTGTTCTTTTGGATTCGAGGTGTAGGCGTCATACACCCCAAAAGCTGGGAGAAAACTCTCTCTTAGGCGGGTCTGACTGACAAGGTATTTGACCTTTAAGAGATCTAAAGAGTGCGGGAGTCGAGGACCAGGAACTCCTGCAAGTCTCAGGCTGGGAGTCGAACCTTGGATTGCGAGCTGCTTCGCTCACGCCGAGCACTCACGTCCACACGATCGAGGTACAAACATGCGTCGTATACGATTGAAACTGCTGAAACTGGGCTCACCCCACCCCAATCACGGGCCCGATTCTCGGTTTCGCGTAGGTTTGAATTGGATTCCGATTGCGATTCATTCCATGGGAGTCTGCCCGAGCAATTTTTTGCGGGAATGGTCTAGTCGACCAATTCTGGTTCTTTCTGGCCTTGTTGGGACCGGAAACCTGATATTCACTGTATGGCGAGTGGATGCTGGGGAACAATTGATACCCAGCAAACTGAGCTGTTTCTATCTCTTTCCCAAAGAGCCTGCCATTTCCGTCTGTGGACCGAATAGCATTGTTCAGCTCTGCTTCTCGGATGACTGCGGGCCTCATGGATTCTTGAATGACTCACCCTTTCAGTTCCAACAATGTTTGGGGTGAACACTGCTGCAAGAGTCGGCCGACTCCGAACCCCCCCAAACCAAGGCCCAAAACAAGGAGTGGACCACCCATTGCGTTTCTATAATTAGTACGAAAGGGTCCCCCAACTCGGATCATCACGCAGCTGCTTCATCCCATCGCTCTGCGTTCACATCGCAGGTTTCACCCGCTGCTTCGCCCGCGAGAAAACGTGGTTCGTCGAGTCGAGTACCCGAAGGGCCATGACAGGCCATGACCCCTCCCGGCTGGAGAGGACTTCAGCCTGGAGGGGGCGCATTCTTAGTCTCAAGATCGATCGATCTATCGCATGGACACCCGTTTCAACGGTGGACACCCAAACACCCAGACGCTCCATGTATGCCATATATGCCTACATTGGGGTGGTTTGAGAGGTCAATGTAGGCATATATGGCATACATGGAGCGTCTGGGAAAGCTTCCACCGGAGCAAGCCGATCCACGGTCGATTCCGGACGCCTTTCATCCAGTCGCTCGCCCGGCGCATGCTGCGAGCCTCGGAGCCGCCGGCTCGCAGAAGCTGCAAGTCGATTGAAAAGGGACAGCGCAACAAAAAGAACAACACCTTCCTGGTTTTTCAAAGTGACCGACCTTGATAACCTGGTTGGTTCGGTCACAAACAGGCCTGTAACAGGTCACTTGGGGATTCCAAGAATGGTCACGTACTGAAGAAGTTGTTAACCAATGTGCGTTTGCATCCTTGTGTTGAATGATATGCACTTTTTGTCAGGAGAAAAAAACAAAAGAACGAGCCACTTTCTGGCTGTGGGGAGACTGGCACCATGATACCGACCCGTTGATCTACGGTCCTGGGGTCATGCTGGGCTAGGCCTTCTAGGGCTAGGGCGGTTGAACAACCCATCCCCACATGTGGCACCGAAATGGCAATTGTAGCAGTTTGGGAGGAGATGTCTCGAGCTAATCCCCATGTATAGCATCCTCTTGCCCACCCCAAGGGGTGCTATCTGGGGAGTCGATGTAGGTATATATATATATATATTGGCAGTCCCATGGAGTAGCTGGGAATGGTGTTTCATCCTATTTTGAATCCCTTGACCTCGGTTCGGGGCTACCAGTCCCATCTACACCCAGGGGTCGAAGGAATTCGATCGGCATGAGTCCAAAAGTATCCGAATTGAGCTGGATGGTCGCGAAGTACATCTCAGATCGGTCGCGCAACACCCAGTCTGTTGGCATACGGTGTGTTTTCTTGCATAGAAACTGGCAGAAGCAAAGGAAAAGCATTATCCAAGCTAGCTCTAAGCAGCTTCTGTCTAGCAACGGATTCATGCTCTGCCGTTGTGCATGTTGATCAGTCTCTTGTAACTGCTGTGTTGAAGACGTTCGAAGCGTCATTTACGTCGTTCAAAGCTCAAACATCTCGCTCAGGCAAGCTAAAACGCTCATGAGTGATGGAGGCTAGAGACCTCCGGGGGATGGTCAGGGTCAGCTTCCTCTTTCCATTCTGAACCAACTGGGCCAAACCATAGATCTTGCCCTAAGAATGGAGGACCAGGTTTAGAGGGTCCAAACCCCTGCTATGCAGGGTCCAAACCCTCCATAGGAGGGTCCAATGATTCTTAGGGCATGAAAGATGTTGTCAAAACCTCATGCGATTCCTTCTGGCTAAAAGAGGAATCGCTCACCCAAGAAAATGCCCTTGACTGGTGACTCTGCTGGCTTGACCAAGACGTGGAAGAGAGGGCAATCTCTGGTGTCCTCTCTTTCAACATGCTGTGTCAAGTGCAAACCAAAAGCTCCAAGCCGAGTCTGGACCAGGTCACGACAAGAAATCGGCTAGCTGCCTAGCTGAGCCTGATTGGGCTTGCACCTGAAGCTTACTCCAAGCTTTTTGGGGTAGGCTTCGAGTGTGTAAGTACTTTCTGATGAGGTAGTTGAAGCCCTAAAGGGTCCTAGAAGAATTGGTGAGTCTATTCGGCTGTGGCTCCGTCTCTTTCACCCTTGCTACCAGTTCTGACTGTCCATGCATGCGGCTGAAGTCTAGAATGAAAAGCCAATTTGACCGAAATGCTCGCAGCAACACGCAACACTCCGACCAAGTCTAAGAGCGGCCGTGAGACTGGCTTCTTCGCTGGTCTCTTCGTTTGCCAAAGCACCAGACTGACGCCTCGACCACCGGAGATGGAACGCGCTGTACGCAGGTGGCCAGGCTAGGAAGGAGACGGAAAGACGGCGGTTCCAGTGGAGAGTCGGGCCACAACCCGGGTGGAAGACGAAGCTCTCCGTGGGTCACGGGTGTCGACACTGTCGCAGGAGGAGGTTTGGATCTAACTCCCTAAGAATCATTGGACCCTCCGAACTGGCCCTAGGGATCCAAGTACCTTCTCAGGTACGGTCACTGTTATCTAGGTGCCAGGAGGGTCCAGTCGTACCGAACCTGAGGTTCGGTACGACTGGATCCGTAGGGCCTTAGGTGGAGGGGTACTTGGACCCTGCAGAACGCAGGGGGTTTCGAGCCTTAAGACCTTCACATATGAGGTCTTCGGGCTGACTGGCGGTCCGGAACGCTTCGAACAACCACTCTTCGCGGGAACGGTTCGAATGGGGCCACAGTGTGCCACCGTTCTTCTCGCCGAACAATGACCTTTGCAAACAAGTACGCTCAGTGGGGTGGGCAAGAGTTTACGTACTCAATGGTTAAAGAAAAAAACATTGGATAATATCATATTAATATTAATATATAATATATGACCAGGATGACTGGGATCGCTAAAAAAACACCTTATCATGATCAACATCATCACCGGTTCTGAAATGTTCTGAACCCCAGTCAAGCCAAGCTGTTTGGGCGAGCACCAAAGCCTGCCTGCCAGTGCACCAGCGGCAGCACCCAGTACTACAGCAGGGATCGTCTTGTCCATGGCGCGGCGAACGCATGCGAACGCAGCCACGACTAAGGAAGCAATTCCTGGAGCTTGGTTAATTCATTGGAATTGTTTGCTTCTGATTCTGTTTATGCCACAGCCAAAGGAAACGACAACAAAAAGGTCCATGACTATAGATTCATGTGGTTTGTGCGCTTGCTTGACGTGGAGTGTCTTGCACAAGGTGGGATCCTTGTACTCTTGCGGTTTCTGCGGATGTGTGAACACTTGCATTCACCGGGAGAGAGCTTGGCCGCAACGAAACTGACGGATCACTGGTCCAGTCCAAAACGGTCTCGGAGTCTCCCAACCGTCCCGTGAACCGTCCCGTGGTCATCCTGGGAAAGGCTTGTCAGAGGCTGAAAGAGAGGTTTTTAACACTCAAAACAAAGCCTGATTGGGCTTGCACCTGAAGCTTACTCCAAGGATTTTGGGGTAGGAGACCCAAGGACCAAGGACACCCAAATACCTTAGCTAGTGGTGGCTGCGATACAACATGAATATAGAATTTAAATATATTATAAAATGATTGAATCTTAACGGGATACAGGTCCACCATTGTTCCTCTTTTTGTGACTGCACATGCTGTGCACATGCTGCCTTCACATTTTAGTGAAGGGAGCACGCGTGACACACGACTGTCCTTCAGATCTCCTTCGAGATCATGGACAAAGGGATTCTGGTCCTAACACAACCGTGCTGGAGGGGTCCTGGAGTCCTGGAGCTTGCAACTGGCTGCAGATTGTGTCTACAATTTTCCGACAATGACATACAAATCCCAATTATGTAGCACTTTCTGAGGTGACAGAATTCGGACATCCCGTGGACATCTAGGCAAGCTTAGGCATATTTATAGGTGATGCTCACCCTGCAAACTCCAAATGCTCCATCTGCCCCAGCCCAGCCATTTGGGCGCCGATGCTTCAGCTATTTCCGCTCCAGCGCTTTTTGCCGGATAATCTCTTCAGCCCCCTGGCACGGACGAAACCGCGGCAAAGCACCGGTTGTTCCAACGATGAGTCCGGCTGCGTAGGTTTTCTGCGTGAACGATGAGTTCTGCTGTGTAGGCAAACCATGGTGGGGTGGTTCGTGGGGTCCATGTAGGCAAATCTTCCAGATACGGGCTGTCAGGGGTATACCCCTGAAACAAGGTTCACGCGAGTCACATGTTGCTAAAGAGCCTTGGTGGTTTGTATGATGTTCTTTCTTGTGTCTGCCACCAGTTTTCGGAGAAGAGTTTCAAGGACATAAGGACATAAACATCGCAGAACCCGTGCAGCACAGGGAACCGGCGGATCTCGTAGTATCTCACAGATCCTTGCAGAAAGCGGTTTTTTTTTGAGCAGATCTTCGCGGCTTTGAAGTGACGACTTGGACGATGACCGATGACAGCTGACGTGGCCGCAATGCCCGAAACATTCCCCTCTCCACCACCCCAATCACATGGTCGGCCACGATGACCTCCACAAAACGATGACGACTTCGACCAAATGACAACTGCGAAACTGAAAGAGAGAAAACGAGTCTTCGTGAACTAATTCGAGGCCAACGTCTTCGACAACGTCAGGCACGTTATCAACGTGCCTCCTGAAACAATCATGGAAGCGGAAAACCACCGGTTTGTAGTACGTAGAAGTAGAGGAACACATTCTTCCAATTAAGAGGTCATATTCCACTTCCATTTTTGTTATTCCACTTCCATTTTTGTTGGAGGGAGGGAATCAGCAAATCTTCTTTTCAGCTCTTGATCATCCGCACGCAATATCCCTGGACTGGCTCTGTTGATTACACTTACGCCACCTGTGTGGGTTCATGAAATGAGCCTAAATTTCACTGGTCTTCTCTTGTGGCCTTCTAGCCAAAAAGAGCTCTAGCCTGTGCCCGTTTCACATCAAGAGCCGCCCCGCCGCAAGGACTCAAAAAGGCAGAAGTGCTCCATCCATGTTTTGAGATCTTGAAATCCGGACGAAGCAGGAGGTGCACAGGACAACATTGCCCCATCCCATGGGATAGAGAACCCAGAGGCCCAGAGGTGTGTTGGTGGCCTTGGTCACGTCAGAGGTGCACAGCCCATGTTTCGGAGGCTGGTAGGGGCCCCAGCTCACCTCAACGGGCCGGTCCACGCGTCACCGCGATCACCGGTGGTTTCGGGGCGAGCATGGCATTGCGAGCGAGCATGGCAGATGTCCGACCAAACCAAAGCCATGTATGAACATTGGATCATGGGGAGAGATATTGGGGAGAGACCCATGCTCCACTGCGGTCCACGCGGAACGGCCTTTCAAATTCCTGGGATCCTTCTTTTGTGGGGGGAAGATCCAGGGCCGGTGAGAACCACTTCATCACGATATATCAGATCGATCTCGTATCCAGGGGCCTATCTTCACTATAGTGCCAAATTGATCGTTCTATTTTGCTTTTAACGTGATGTGTTGACACATAGCTCTGGCACATAGATTCAGAAGCATGTAACAGATAGGAAGGCTTTCGCGATGCAAATGGCCTCCGATCTGTGGGCAAAGGCCACCTTCTTCATGAACCGGACCCAAACACTCCATGTATGGAATATATAACCCTATATACGTTACGTTACATTGGGGTTGTTCGGGCGTCACCGTATAGGCGCATATTCCATACATGCAATGTCTGGGAGTCTGGGAAATAGATGCAACGTGCAGGATCCCACGGATCGATTTAGACGTTGAAGGCATTATAGGCATCCTATGGCCAACCGACGTGCCCCCAATTGCTTCGCTGTTAAGACTCCGCTCCACACAGCACGTGCTGCCCACGTGCGAAACCCACCCACCCACGTCCACGTCGAGAGAGCGCGCGTCCGTCCGAACCAAGAGACAAAGGACTCCTCGTAGAGACCTGACATGGCTGGTGTTCTGATTTCAGAGGCTCGGCGAAGAAGGAGAGGCAGCACCCTTCGTTTCAGAGGATGTACTTGGATGGTGGTTTCAACAGAATCAACACATTGTATAAAGATTTCTGAAGGAACCTGTGGTTTACGATCCGCTGGATCAAGCACTGATAGTCCCACTTCCCATCGAGTCATTTGGAACATTACATGTCATGACGAAACTAACACATTGACCTTGAGGCATTGGGGGATGTTGGGTGCCGCTGCAAATGACACCTACCTTGCGGGGTAGGCTGATGCTGCACATCTGAAAGTCGTTACGCAAAATGCATTGCACATTCGTACATCATGCTTATTATACAGAATATTCGTCCTCGGCCTTCAGTGAGGACCTGACCGCAAGAACTCAGTCCGGGACCAATGCAAACATCTACCTTGTTGGAAGCTCTTCCAATACGCACAAGCAGTTTCTGAAAGCATGCAATGCACACAAGATCGCTTTCAAAGTCGCACAAGTTCATCAAGTCCAGCTTCATACACTTCAACGAATGAATCATTCCCACGCGGAGGATGCCGCGCCGCCATGCCTGTGTTTCTGCCGGGACGTCCACCACCCACACCTCAAAAAGAGATTCGCGTCAAAGCGCAAGATTTTAACCCCAAAACAGTAGGTAAAAAGAACACTGGAATGCCTTAACAGCTTCACGCAAAAACCTTCGTGGACGGGCCACCGAACAGGGACTAATTATCCGGACGCCCACTACTTAGGGATCTCCGGACACCCAAACAGGATGGTCCAATGGTCCAGGGTATATGAGGCTCAGGGAATATGCCATGTTGATTGTTTTCAGCTAGAACATGTTAGAACAACGAATGGGATCACAGTCTAAGTATTTCTAAGTGCTAGGCCATTACTATACCCCAACACGACCTATCTTGGACGCTTCGCCGGAGTGACTCCGGATCAGTTGAGGTGGTAAACCTCCCGGGTCAATGGGGTGGTATATATCATACCAGGACCCTCCAAGGGGTGTCATTTATAGCCCCTTAGCTGTTAAGGGGTGTCCATTAAGCATTTTTGGGGGGTCCTGGTATATTCCAGTCCCAACGGCAAGGATGGTCTGTATCTATACAGAGTCTCCAAAGGATCTCTCCTGCCACTCAAAACAGAACACTCGAGCGTGAGGTGTAGGAATCTCCGAGTGCAAACCAACAAACCCAACCCAGCACCACACCCCTGACGATGTATTTCCATCCAAAGACACTAATTAATTATAACAACCCCCCTGTACCCGTGGTGGACCTTGATCCCATCGGACGAGTCGCTTCACACCTTTTTTCCCCTTTTCGCGATGCAACTCGTCCGACTCGTCCGACCGATGACGGGTCCGGGTCCGACGAAGCGAACCGCCGCGCCTCCCACACAACAGGATTGGAACTGCTTGCTGCTGGTCCAAGGCTGTCGCGCCGCCTTAAGTTGAAGAGATTGATGAGATGAACTCTGAAATTTCTGGAGGCCGCAAATGGCTTGGAACAACAGAAGATGCAATTCAGTGTAATTCATCTGTGAGCAATTTCTCCCTCCCCCAAATCTCTTGACATTCTCACGACCTCCGATTCGGCTAATGGCGGAGGCCAAACCTGAAGATGCTAACAGGATGACCTCACCGAACCTGCGCCAAATCGGATGACCGAATGGGACGTCTTGCCCGGTGGTCGATCCGTTCGATGCAAAGCCAAGGCCTTCACATGCCCCAAGCTATGTCGACCGATCTCGGCATGTCATGTGGATTGAAAAACCACACACTCCCCAAACACGTGTGCACTGTTGAATCATGCACTGCTTTTTCAACAGTTCACGTGTGCTCAGTCGGAAAGAACAGAAAACGTGTTGTAGCAGCGGCATCGGAGATCATTGGAGTGTGTCGAATCTCTGAGGATGTTTTCAGGTACAGGAAGCTCCAATTGAGGTCCCCTAAACCCTACTAGTAGGATCTAGTTTATAGTTGCATTTGTTGTCTTTGACTGCGAGGGTTACAAAGCGTATGTAATCCCAACATGTTCACATCAACGTCTTGATGTGGGTGCCACTGTTATGAACATCATGCGCATGATGTGCTATTGACACACACTAGATGTTAAAACTATTGCAACTATTGAGTCAGGAATTACACATAAAGTCGATATATCATGATATATCTCGCTGGTCTTGCAGTGCTCACTTTCCTCCCACGGTCACCGGACAAAACGACGACCGCGTCGCGCCACCGATGTCCGATGCCCACCGGTCCCGCCCTCGGCCGAGCGGCGATCTGAGACTCGGAGCTGCTCTTCCGCAAGGAATGCATGGCCCAGTGGTTCTCCTTGGTGGAGCCGAACGGAGCCCATGGAGCCCGTGGAGCAGAGGAGGAGCGAGTTTCGGGGCTGAATGCAAGAGAATGATGCTTTCAGAAGCTATGCTATTTGCCATCATGTGCCACTAGAATTCAAACTCAATTCAATGTCTCACCTAAAGCAAACACCTTGAATGGGGAGGCAACTGAAAAGCAAAACCTTCAAGCTGTTGGGCTGTTGCATTGATTTTTGCGATGGGTCAGTCGATCATATAATTCCATCTCAGGAATTGGCCTTCGGATAGGGGCTGCACATTGCCACGGTCACTAGTTCAATGTTATATAACTTCCGAGAAGAAAAAACACCAGAAGCCGTGCTTGACCCCGAACCTGTTTAAACAAACTCTTGTTCATGGATCGGCATCCTCAGGTGCCCATAGTTTATCGTGTTCCTTTCTTATCTCCTTGCCACTCAGCGGCGATGTACCAATTGTCCGAGCGATAGTTGGTCACCGGCCGCGCCCACGCGTGGCTCTTCGTCCGAAAGTCGCGTTGCTGCTCCTGGGCGCAGAAAAAACACCGTCAGTGCTCCAAACCGCCGCTGCCAAAGACATCGATCTGAATGTATTGAGCAGAAGCCGTGAGATGCAATGAATCACTTACAGCTGAAACATCTTAAGGATCAACATGTAAGTGTACCTTCACCAACCAGACCCGAAGAAAATAAAGGGTTGAGTTGGGAACCCGAGGTATCGAAAGGAAACCCGAGGTTTTGCCTCGGCCACTTGCCACTGATCCCACCACATCTTGCAAAGTTGATGCACAATGATGATGCGGCCATTTTTCTTCACGCTCTTCATGCCCCATCCGGAGCAAAAGATCCTTGGCCTGATTCCGGAGGGGTGCCAAGTCGATGATTCAAACAATTTGGATGTAAAGCGTTTACGGTTCAGTGTTGTATTGATCTTGAGATTCCATGGTTCGTTTTCACCCCTCTCCACGGATCAAATATCGATGCCGCACGAAATGTCCATATGTGCTTAGAAGATACCTATCCATGATACGATGTAGGACCGGTCTTTGTGCGGTGACACGTCTCGCAAGCCGGGACGGACGACCGATAAAGTCCTCCGATGGCTGGCAGGATTTGCCAAGAGGGTTGAGTCCCCGAACATTGCGGTTTGATGCATCTAGGAGCTCAACCATGAAATGATGTAGGCAATGAATCTTTGGCTGCAAAACAAACAGGCACCTCCCAGTTCTTTGGGCAAGAGAGGCCATTTGAGCATATCTCCGAAGAAACTTGAAACCTAGCTCAGCCACTAGGTTACATTGCGCCGGTTCAAGCCACAAATCGGAGCGATAAAGAAATCGACTGCACGCCTGCACGGCCTCACATGCTTCAGCTGCCAAACCAAGTAATGGTTGATGCGGAAATGTCTCTGTATTGAAGCGGCTTTCAGCAAATTCCATGAGCACAGTTGTCAGGGCACCCTTGTGCCACTGGCCTCCGGGAAACGAGGATGTTGTTTCCCACCCGATCATTTCTTTTGATAGTTTTCCAACATGTGCTCTTCGAGAATTCTGGCAACAAAATGTTTTGAACTTCTCGGTCAATGCTTGGAACCTGCAATCGATCGAGCCGTGGGGCTCTTCCTCACTGAACAAAGCCAGCAGACTCCCCAGGTACGACTTCAAGACACCTAGGTGCATGGTGTGGAACCAGTCGAAACACCAAATTGCTGGAGCCTTCTGAGGCTCATACAACAAATGGTCCACAAATGGGTTCGGTTGCAAGAAAGGGTCCTCACTGAAAAGGGTTTGCAGCCAATCGGGCCTCCGAGTTCCCAATTGCTCGAACTGGAACCCCACCTGGGCTGCGCGGCAAAGGTGGCATATCCCGTTGGGACTGTTGCGTACAACAGCTCGGCGCTGTATGTTGTTAAAGCTCCTGGAAAAGGACCCGCACTTGTGCAAGAATGGCCAATCGCCAATTATCCCAATGACCACGCCCCAATAGCGCTGTCCCTCAGGGCTGGCAACACCGGTTTCCCACATGAAGTGGGCTTCCTCTGCAGCTGTTCGCATGAGAAGGTCCCAAGTGCTGCTGTTCTGATCAGCATAGTCCCCTTTTCTCAGACTTGCGATCAAGAATCTGTTTGTAAAGCTGTGACCTGCAAAGTTGCACTCCATCTTTGCCCACGTTCTCTTCTTTTTTTGCACCTTTGCAAAGCCGAACCCTATGATCGAGTGAAAACTCAAAACAAAATGCGCCGTATGACGACGGCCGCGCCCCTCGTCCCCGTGGAGCAGAAGAGGCACTGCGGTAGGCAGCGAAATCAAGCCCTGGTCCTCCTTGTCAAAGATTGCATGGTTTGGACACAATCGCCGAAAATTCTGCCAAAAATTTGACAAGATCGCTTTTTCACGAGCTTCATGTGACTGATGCAGTCCGTGCAAGATGTGAATGCAAGAGTTCTTGAGGAAGAATTCAAACCACGATCTGATCCGTAAAATTGGAATGTCAGGCTGGCTTTCTAAGTGAGATCTTTCTACATCAAGCGTCAGCGAAAACTTGTTCACAATAACCCGTTGACAATCTCTTTCCGGGTTCGACAGACTGCAGCGCGAAACTTCTAGTAAACCACCAGATTTCTGAGCAACCCGTTCGCCAACATCAGCCACAAAGTCACGGGCTGAAGCGATGGCTGAGGTGCATGAGGCCTCGGCGATCAAAACAACAGGAGAACAATGCCAACCAAATTTAGGGGAATCTGGTCTTGGAAAGACGATTGGAGCTAGTCGTGCAAGTCGGGTGAATGCAGGCGACCAAGTATGACAATTGACGTCACAAATCGAAGAACACCCCCGGGCAAACAAACATGTCACTTTTTTTCCGCTGGTGTGGCCACACTGTCAACTTCTGCACGTGTGCACTTCACACATGCATGCAACTATTAGATGTGTGAGAGGGTTGCTATATATAAATTTCATTTCACACAAGACCTCACCATTATTGGCTCTCTTGCTGGCACGGGAGGTGGATACTTCAAAGACCTGTACACAACGTATGTACTGCACCGGCTCTGATCCGAGGATTGCAATGGCGTGACATTGTCGCCGCCAGCTCTGATGTTCTTGCATCCAGGCCTACCTGGGAGTGGGGCAAGAGAGTGGGAAGGAACACAATCTGTTGAAAGAACCCCAATGTTTAAAATGTAAAGGTGGACTTCAAACATGATAGAGTTTCAACCGAGGTGCATCCGAAAAGATCTATCAAGGTAGCTTCAAGCATTGCAGGACCAAACGGTTCCGCGGATTCATACAAGATGACCATTTTGGACCATTTGTGAACACGGTCTTTCTTGTACCCATAGATTGAATTGCACCAACGCCAGCGCGGACAATGGGTATAGCCAATCTTGAAGATAAGCGGCTCGTGTTTTTGAAATAGAGTCAACATCACACGCTTTGCATGCTGCAAAGCTTTGCCAGCTGGAGCACCCACTGGAGGGACTTTGTATTCAAGAAAGTCAGCATCATCCCCAATCCCGTCAGAAGCCCCTGAAGCGGAACTGGTTGCTGATAAGTCTGAATCCGTCATCCCTGACGCGGTTGAGCAATCCAACATGTCCGAAGCAGTCATATCCTGGTCATGAGGTCCGCTGTCGCCGACATGTTCAGGCTTGCAAGCGCTATGTCTGCTTCTTGGCCACGGGTAGGGTCTCAAAGTGTCCTGGTGGCGTGGTTGTGGCTGAATTAATGGATGCCAAGATAGGTTGACAGCACATTCCAACAGAGGTTGAGAAACCACACAGAAGGATCCTTGTTGCACCTTTAGTTCTGGTGCCCCGCGTGCTATGTCAGCCCCTCTTGGTGTGTTTTATTTACAGGGTTGTATTGGCATAATCAGTTACAAGCGAAGTAGTGCACTCTCTGACATTGAAGGCCGAGTTTCGGATCGGTGGCAAGTAAGAAGATCCCACAGTTCATCATACGCAGCTTCATCGCTTGTAGATGTAGACATGTCCGAGACACTATTCCTACACCGATGGTTCATGGTGCAGTTTGAACACTGTAATGGCAAGCAGGCCCAGGTAATTATTTGCTTGTCGCCGGACTGATCGACAGAGCCTGCAATCAGGTTTGGGTTCCCGACGCCATCTCCAATCCTTTGGGCAAATCCACGGATAACGTTGCCTGGCTTGGGACCTGGCCGGAGCAGTCATAGCAGCCCAAAAACAACTTGCACCCGAGTGAGGGTGGATGGGTTGAGAGATGAGAGGTCACTGAAGGCACTGTTACAAGGACTTGTTGCACACATTTCTGAAGCTGGACTGCTTCGCGCATTGCATCAAGCACCCAACCACTTTTTCTCCCGTGGATTCCCGCAAACTTGAATCTCGAGATCTATGATCATGATCTCAATGAACTGATTGCAGAAACAACTGCAATCTTTACCCAGGCCAAAGGCATTTTGCGTGTTTAAGTGCCACGCCAATTACGAGACAGCACATTATTTTCTTTATGTTCTTCATGTCGACATGCACGTATATAACTGAATAACATAATGTTGGTGTAGACATCAAAATGCAACCAAGACGTTATCAGATATCAAACACCTCATGGCAACACGCTGCCTGAAGCAAATGGAATTAGCTGAAAGCATTGCGATCTATTGCGCAACCTAGGAGCCCTTTGCCTTTTTCTTTTGTTTGGTTTCCCCGTCAGCCTTTCGTTTCTTCTCCTTGGAAGTCTTTGGTTCCCCTTCTTCCTTGCCCTGCTGTTTGTCCTTTTTGTCCTTCTTCTCCTTCTTTTCCTTGCCCTCACTCTTCACGGCTTTCTCGAAGAACTTCTTTTGGCTCCTGCCGCAGGCTGGGCTGCATGAATAATGAACTAGGACCCTGTTGGGAGAAACGGTTGGCATGTTTTGGACATCTTGATATGTATCTTGATATCGATTTGGGGGACTGAAGACTCGCGCAAACGATAAGGCTGATCGCTCCTTGTCTTGATCTCTGCGGCGGATGCTTTGGAGCACCTTGGACGGCCACTGTGATGAATTGACGCTTTGGGGGTTGTGAGTACAGTGCACAGTAAATAGTAGTGAGCGATTTCGGGGTGAGATGTTATTCTGTCATGTTCGTGTCGAACTTGGACCTTCATTCTTGGGCTCCCAGCGCTAGGGTTGCGGACTTCATTGCTTTTTCTGCGTTTAGGTAAAACCTGAAGCTCTTGACAGACGAAAGCAGCTTAGAGAGCGTGCGTGCACGGACTAGATCCGAAGATCACCGATCCCTCGACACGGATTAGAACAAGTAGCTCCTCATTCAAGAAGCCATTGGCCTCACCTTTGACCCATACCTCCTGGCATGAGTCGAACTGCTGATCCAAGTTCACAACCTCCTTCCTCAGCTGATCGACCGACCTAGGCAGACTCGGTGCTGAAGGACTTGGGATTTCTTTTGGTGGGACTGATGCTTGAGCTGGGGTTGATGCTTGACAGCAATGCTGAGGAAAATACTTTCGGGAATCAGCGTCGTCGTATTTGGTGTTCAGTT